TATATATATATATATATATATATATATATATATATATATATATATATATAGATTAATGAGTATCCTTGTCATAGGAGGGGATTTATCCTTCTTGTCGCCTATGTGGCACAATCCCCACCATCCTCATAAAGTAGACACAAATCCCCACCAATTCACACACTCTCCTAAGATTAATGGATATCCTTGTCATAGGAGGGGATTTCCCTCATTGTCGCCTATGTGACACAATCCCCACTATCTGTTGACCTTCTTGTTTTGATGATGTTTAACAAACAATTTATTACTAATGTTGTTTGTCTAGTGTTTGTGCATTCCTATGTATTGTAGACAAACAACGTAGTTGGAGGATGGATGGATTGCGCCATAACGACGATATCAAATGGAGGTTGGCGGAATGTCGGGTTTACAAGCTTCTTCCGCAAAGTTTACCAAGTCATGCTCATTGAAGATCTTCATCAAGCTTGGGTATACTTAGTATAGGTTTATATACTGTGTGATATTCTATGAGCTCAAATACACACACATACATCATTTATGAATTTTTCATTAAAACAAAGGTTTTTATGCAAAATACATTCAAATATGTTTTGGGTCATATAAACTATGTTAATATCCTTTACTATGCTCATATAAAGTATATACATGTTAATATCCTTTACTATGCCCATATAAGTATATACAAGTTTTCATTTGTTGATTTGAACCAAAATGACAAAAACAACATGTTTTGAAAAACATGTATTTTAGCCTTTTTGCATATTCAAATGTTTTTACAAATGGGAAGAGCTATTTGAAAAATTCCTTTTCCAACATGTTCATATTCATGTTCATAAACTTTCCCCAAAGTTTTACATTTTTTGGAAATTATTTGCTATTTTTAATAGAGCTTCAAAAATCATCTTCAGAACTGATTCTGGCAGATTTCTTGTTATCAGTCGACTGATGTGTCGACTGAAAAACATGGCTGGAATCTTCATTTAGCCTCTGCTCTATTTCAGTCGGCTGATGTGTCGACCGACCATGTCAGTCGACTGATAAGTTTTCATCAGTCGACTGAAAAGCTGGCATTTGAATTTAACGACCAGCTCATCAGTCGACTGACACCTCCCGTCAGTCGACTGATAAGCTCTCCAACGGCTAGTTCTGAGAAAAATCTGGTTCTTGCTTTTTGGGATATTTTGCTGGTCTTCATTGGGTTTTGTGCACGGTTTTCTCTTCCTATATAAACCCCCTAATGTATTCTTCAGAAAAGATAGTTTTTATGTGTTTTTAACAAAAGTTTAAAAGATTATCAAAGTTTGTTTAAGAGTTTTAGTTTGGTTTAACAAGAGGTGGCTTGCTCTTCAAATTGAGGAATTCATCATCAATCTTCTTCAACCTCTCTTGTGTTTTATAGAGAAGTTTTCTAACTCTATTCTCTAGCAATTTGTCCTTGATTATTTATACATTATTATTGCTAGTTTGTTGATTGAGTTAGATTTCATTTATTCTCTTTTATCACACTTATCCACATTTGAGCTTATAGTGTTTCATACAATATATTGTTGGATAGTAGTGTGTGATTTAGTGATATTAGGATTCATTGAGTTCTCATCTATTGTAGAGAACAATTTATATTTGTTACATTGTGAGATTGTTAGGTTTTCGGTGAGCTAGAAACCGAGTGTGTTGTGAAGTTTTCGGTGAACTAGAAAACCGATTGTGAGGAGTGACGTTGATCGGTGAGCGTTGAAAACCGATACTGTGAGGTGTAAACGTTATTCGGGTGAACGTAGAAAACCCGGTTGTGATAGTGGATTTCTCCCCGGGAGTGGGGAGCGGAGACGTAGGACGGAAGGTCCGAACTCCGTGATCATATTGCTTGTTTGAGTGTGCTTTGGCGTTCATTCATATTTATGTTCATATCTTATATCGCCATTGTCATTAGCTCATTATCTATATCATCCACTATCTTGTTTACATTGTTTACCCTTGTGTTCATATATCCTTGCATATATATCTTATTTATGCTCATTGCTTATTTCGCCATTGTCTCATTATTTATATGATCCACTATCTAGTTCATATTGTTTACCCCTTGTGTTAGTTTATATATCCTTGCATATATATATAATTCATCATCTAGGATATATCTCATTGTTTATATTGCATATTCTTGCACATAACTCTTTGTATATCTATCTTGCAAGAATATACTTGTTAATTAATTTTAATTGGCATTTAATCGGATTAGATTAGCATAAGACCCTAATCACCCCCCCTCTAGGGTCTAACAATTGGTATCAGAGCTTGGTGCTCTTTGATTTAAGGTCTAATCGCCTTGAGTTAAAGATCCAAGTTATCTTTTTGTGCTAATCTTGTTTTGATTGCATTTGCATCTTGCTTGCATATTTTTACAAATTATGAATATGAATGATGCATCTTGTTTAGGCTATGATTCTAGTATTGCTCCTAAATTCAATGCTTTCCCTTATGCTCAATGGTGTTTTAGATTCAAAATATTTGTTCAATCTAAAAATATCGATTTATGGGAAATCATTGATTGTGCTTATATTGTGCCCACGTTGGAGAAATCCAAGTGGAGCAAACATGATAAAAAGATGTTTATTATGAACAAGCTTATGTTAGAATTTTTATTAAATGCATTTGATTCATTTATGTCTAACAAGCTTGATTCTTTTGATAGCGCTTATACATTATGGAAATTCATAGAAGCGCATCAAGGAGACTTGGAGGCGATCCGACAAGCTTTGGAGGATCCCGCTTCAAGTTCTAAAGGAGCTTCATGCACACGAGCACTAGGCGATAGCCCTAGTGAGGTTTGCAAGTTCGAAACCATTAATGATTTACCTAATGATAAACTTACTTGTGCTAGTGATAAATTATTGCATGCCTTTAACAAATTGCTTATAAATTATTGCATGCCTACAAGAAATTGCAAAATGATTTCATTAATTTACAAAGCAAGCATGAAAATTTAAAATCCGATCATGAGTCTTTGACTTCTAAGTTTGATATTATTTCTAATGAAAATATGATCCTTAAAGAAAACAATGAAAAATTAAAATTGGATCATGATTCTTTGCTTTCAAACTTTGCTAAGTTAACTCATGAAAGAGATAATGTCATGCTAGAAGTAGTAGCTATTAGAAATGATTTTGATAACCATACATGCTCTACTTCTATTATCAATGATGTTGTGCATAATGATGATTTGAATCTTGTTAAGGAACGCATATCATGCTTAGATTCAACTTTAAAAACATGCATTGATAACCATAAGAAACTTATGGACAAGTGTGCTAAATCTAGTGCTACAAAATCACCTACACACTATGCACACTTGTATAGCAAAGTTTACAAGTGCTCCATTTGTGGTCGTAAAGGCCATTTAGCTAAATTTTGCTATGATGCACAAAAACATAAGAATATTAATCCTACTTGTGCATCTCATCAAGTTAATTCATCACATGTACACACACATGCATCTATTTCTCATCATAAGCATGCTAATGTGTATAAATGTGATCTATGTGGTCGGTTTGGCCATTTGGCAAAGTTTTGCTTTGACATGAAAAAGAATTCTAGATTGCCAAATGTTTTTCATAGACCACATGTTTTTAAATGTCATGTTTGTGGTAGGTTTGGACATCTTGCTAAATTTTGTTTTGATATACAAAAAGCTTCTAAATTGCAATATGTTCCAAATAGACCATTGTTTAAGAATGTTTCTCATTTGCAAAATAATTTTAAAAGAAAATCTTTATTTGCAAATGATTCCCGTGCACGAGCTAATGGTCCACAAAAACAAATGGATCTCTTTCATTGCACAAATTGCAATCGGAAGGGTCATTTGAATGAATATTGTTTTGACCATGTTAGTGCACCATATGTGCCTAAGAGGGTTCATAACCCTAAGGCTTTGAGCTTTAATGATAGGGGTCATGTCCCTAAATCTTTTGGTACCAAGAGTTCTTGGGTACCAAAACAAATTTAAATCTTAAACCAAGAATTTTAGTATTCTTATTTTTCCTTTTTCTTGGTTATTTGAAAATTATGCTTTGAAACTTTTTATGAAAACAAATTTTCTTTGATCAAATTCTTTTGTTTTCATGATTATTAATTTTGTTTTGATGAGAGGACTACGTTTATATAACCC